GATCAGGAAAGAGTTCAACAGGAAACACCATCCTGAATCTACAGTTACTAAAACCAGTGAGAGACATGATGTAAAGACTGATGACCGGATCATCTCAGTCATCGACACTCCAGGCCTGTTTGATACAAGAATGACAAAACCGAAAATTAAGAATGAAATAAGGAAGTGTGTCTACAGGTCTGTTCCTGGTCCTCATGCATTTCTGCTGGCCATCAAAGTGGGGAGGTTCACAGATGAAGAGAAGAGTGCAGTCAAATGGATTCAGGAGAACTTTGGAGAAGAAGCTGCATGTTACACCATCATTCTGTTCACTCACACAGATGCACTAGAGGAGAAACCATTAGATGAGTATATCAGAGAAAGTAATGATCTCAAGGCTCTTGTTAATGAGTGTGGTGGCAGATTTCACTCGATCAACAATAAAGACATTGAGAACCGCTCTCAGGTCACAGAACTGCTGAAGAAGATTGAGAAGATGGTGGAGAAGAACGGAGGACAACATTACACTGATGAGATGTTTCAGGAAGCTCAGAGAAGTATACTTGATAGAGTACAGTTCTGTGAGTGTGTGTTTGGCTTTTTATGTCTTATCAGGCTTATTCTTTGACATATTATCATGATATAAACAGTGGTGTAAGAAAAAAAACGTATTTTCTCGATTGTTCCTGCATTATTTTATTTCTTAATGTACCAAATTCAGTAGAACTATTTAGTCTGAACGTTATGTTTATGTCTGAATTGTAATTGCTCTGTTTCATTTAAAATTCCAACTGACAGGGTCAGAGAAACCTCGTATTGTGCTGCTGGGTAAAACTGGATCAGGAAAGACCAGAGTGGTGGAAACCATCCTGGGCAGAGAGAGGAGAAATTCACCAAATTCTGAAACCTGTGAAGTACATGAAGCAAATGTGGATAAAAAGAGCATGGAAATAATTGACACTCCAGGACTGATTGATGCATCAAAAGAGAAGATGAAAAAAGATGAAATTGAGAAGTTTGTCTGTATGTCTGCTCCTGGTCCTCATGTGTTTCTG